AGTAAAGGCAAACAACTACCAGCCACATGGCCTGCATGGTATTAGCCTCTGATGGCAGGGAGCTTACCAATAGGGCACCTGATGGACCTGAGACAGCACTGGAAACCGGGAGGGGCTGTGCCCTTGCCAGTAGCAACTGAACACCAAGACCTGCAATAAAAAGCTCTGGAGGGGCGGGGGCACTGTGGACCCAGTGTTTTCAAGACCAAACAGAGAGCTGGAGCATAGCTCAAGTGGTAGAGCAACTGTTTCGCAAGTGCAGGGCCCTGAGTTTAAACCTGAGTACTGCCAAAACAGACAAACAAAAAAACGCCAAACAAAAACAACTCCCTTCCAGGGCAGGCCACATTAAGGAGAAACATCAGGAAACAAAATCAAACTTCAGCAGGATAGGACAAGAGTGACATAGGAAAAAGAAAGGCCGAAGAAAATCTTAGGAAGCAAGCCACTGTGTTTCTGAATACTATCTGAAGATGCTCTGTGAAGTGTGGACAGCTATCTAAACCAAGCCACCACCTTCTGAAAAGCTTACACAATTAAATTTGCACAAAAATTAGAAAACCCAAGTGTTGTAAGGAAGTTAGCAAAGGCCCGTCTGAGGAAATGCCTAAGAATTCTGGCACTGGACAAGACATCCAGCCCAAAAGGACCTTTCCCATTTTGTCAAGTGGCTCCACTGCATCGGCTGCAGCAGCAACGAGCTCCTCTACTATCAACTGAAAATACTTCCAGTGACCCACCAGTTCACCCAGGCCTCGATGTGCCAACAGCCACCCTATTGTCTCAGCTGGCTCACAAGAACAAACCAGAGACAAAGCAGGAGAAGCCGATTATTGGCCTGGGCTGAGAAAAAAGCTGCAGGCCAAAAAGGTATCCATCCGGAAAGCACCTGTCCTTTAAGCAGGGGCTATACTTCCCTCCTTGGTGGAGAGCAAGGCTCAGCTGGTAGTGACTGCACATAACATACATCCCACGGAGCTGGGTAACTCTGTGTCTTAAGATAGGTGTTTCCAACTGCATTATCAAGGGGAAGGCCAGATTGGACTCATGCTCCACAGGAAGACCTGCACTACCAATGCCTTCACACAGGTTAACTTGGAATACAAAAGGTACCCTGAGCTGATGGAATCTCTCAGTAACAGCTAGAATGACAGATGTGATGAGACCTGCCATCATTGGGGAAGCAATGTTTCTGGACCAAAGACTGTGACTTCAACTGCCAACCTGGAAAAGGCAAAGGCTAGAGAATTTGCCAGTAACCTGGCTTAAATGTACACTGTCGAATTTTCCATGCATAAAAATAAAAATTTTCCTTCAAAAAGTAAATAAAGGTAAAAAGCAAAATTGAAAAATCTAAAGTCCAAAAGAAATGAAGAAAAAAGTTCGGAGAGAAATTGACAACACTGAAGAAGATAAAGGTACGGATCACAGGCGCCCCCATGGAAGAAAACCAAAGCAACTGTAATTTGAGAAAGTTCTGCTGGGAAAAAAAAAAAAAAAAAGATCTGAAATTATATGGTAATGGAAAATGAATACCCAGTCAGCCTCTGCGTCCATGGTTCTGCATTCACAGGTTCAACCAACACAGATCAAGAATGTGGAAGAATATGTGGACATTAGATCAAGGGCAAACACAACAATGGGATTGGACTTTGAGCACATGATAAAAGCGACAGCACACAAGGGAGGGGTGAGGATAGGTAAGACACCTAAAAAACTAGCTAGCATTTGTTGCCCTTAACGCAGAGAAACTAAAGCAGATACCTTAAAGCAACTGAGGCCTATAGGAAAAGGGGAACAGGTACTAGAGAAAAGGTTAGATCAAAAAGAATTAACCTAGAAGGTAACACCCACGCACAGGAAATCAATGTGAGTCAATGCCCTGTATAGCTATCCTTATCTCAACCAGCAAAAACTCTTGTTCCTTCCTATTATTGCTTATACTCTCTCTACAACAAAATTAGAAATAAGGGCAAAATAGTTTCTGCTGGGTATTGGGGGGGGGAGAGGGAGGGGGCGGAGTGGGTGGTAAGCGAGGGGGTGGGGGCAGGGGGGAGAAATGACCCAAGCCTTGTATGCACATATGAATAATAAAATTAAAAAAAAAAAAAAGAATGTGGAGGAAAACTTTGCATCCATAGTGAATATATACAACCTTTTTATTTTGCCATTATTCCCTAAACAATACAGTATAAACTATTTATATAATGTTTACACTGAATTAAGGATTATAAGCGGGAGGTGATTTAAAGCATAGCACACTGGAAGATGTGTGTATGTTATACACAAATACCAGGCTATTTTACATAAGAGAATTGATCAGCTGCAATTTTTAAATTTTGGATCAATGGAGGGTCCTGGACCCATTCCCTCCAGAAACGAATGAACACTTTCTCTCTTTTTTAAAAAATCAGATAGGGTATTTCTATGTAGTTGAGGCTGGCCTCAAACTCACAATCCTATTGCCTCAAGCCCCTCAACCCTCTTATTACAGGTGGGTACCACCATGAACATCATTTGCAAATGGAGGGAGAATAGAGATAGCTTGGGTTTAAAAGTTTTGACTTTTAAAAATATTTTCAGTAATCATAATTGGTAATGGTATTAGAATTTCCAGTTTCAGTCAATCAAATGTATTACATGATAAAGCAAATGACATAAATCATGTTGTTCTAATTTATCTTTACATATATCCATTCTCTAGCTCCTTTACTCAATCATTAAAAAAAAATCATGAGGTCACAATGACGACCCTCCCTAGCACCTAGGCCATGATGTAGAAACACCATTTTCCACTCAGAAACGAGGATGATGGAGAACCAACTCATTACTTTGAAAACTGGGTAAAGACAAGGAAAGAATCAAGAACTTACCCTGTTTTGCTATATGAGCTGTAATACTGGTTAACTAATGTACAACAGGGAGCATCATCTTATAAAGTTTTACCAGCTAAAAATTAAAAACAAAATGAAAGAATTTAATATCATCACTTTGTGACCCTTTCATGATCTAGACATGAGCAATAGTCTCGCCCAAGGGACTGAACCTGAATCTGACTCTAGGATCCAGCTGTCAATTTACAAGATATTCAGACAGAGGAACAGGTGAACTGTACCTCAAGGGTGCCATCAGCAAAATCCAGACAGCTGAAAAACATAGGTCAAAGGTCAGAATTCTCCAACAGATAGATGTAAGGAAAAGAAAAGGACTGAAGAGGAACCAAAGATTGAAAAAAACGTTTAACAAGGCAAGGAAATACATAAAATAAAAGTCAGGATAGCAGTTACTTTCATAGAGGAAAAGGGTTGTGGTGGGGATGGGACATGGGGGAGTTAGTTGAGGAGGCTGGGGAAGTTGTAGGTCTTAACATGGAAGGCAGTTTCAGGGTGCTCATTATCTAAGAAATCACTGAATCCACTTAATTCATTTAACTATTTGGTGTGTTTTCCTGAGAGGTTTTTTTTTTTTTTTTTTTGATTTTGGTTTTATGTTTTTAAAGGATAACATGGCCAGGAAGGCTGGAGGTGGGGCAAGAAAGAGATGGATCAAGACTGCTTCTGCAAAAGCAGGTAAGACTCTTAGTTGAAGACTTTGGCATCAGGTCTTAATAGTGTTATTTTCCTTAACAAAATGTGTCAGCAGGCATTAAGATGATCCATTTATTTAGCAAGCACACTGGACAGAATAATTCTTTTTAACAGCAGCATAATATGCTCTAGCTGCCCAAATTATAAGCTCACAGAAGGAGTCATCCTCAGCCAAAAGCCATGAGGAAAAGTGGGTAGATGTTTAAATAGCACAGTTCAGGAATTAATTTGTTTATGTAAAATAACTTTAATTAAAGCATTTCAAACAATGTTTTTGCCCACAGACAAGAAAAAAAAGAGCATGTAAGTAGGGTAGTTCTTCAAGCACTCTACCTGCCTGCGGGTGACTTGAATGACCTCCATTTATATCAGGGGCAGCAGCACTCCCCACCATGCTCATGACTCACCTTTCCTCCATGTTTTGGGTGAGCATTAAAAACTAATCCAAACCAATAATCATATTTTAAAGCTAAACCTTTTTATCAAAACAAGAAGCTCTGGGCTGGGCTGGAGGTGTGGCCCAAACAGTAAGGTACTTGCCTAGCAAGTTCAAACCCCAGTACCACCACAAAAGCAAAGCAACAAGAACAAGATGCTCTACATTTAAAAGTACGCTTGAGCTGAGCATAGCAATGCATGCCTGCAATTCCAGCTACTCAGGAGGCTGAGGAAGGAGGATCATGTGAGCCCAGGAATTCAAGACCAATCTGGGCAACATAGCAAGAGTTCACCTCAAAAAACAAATAAACAAAACAAAGCAACAAGAACCACCACAAAAAACTCCCAAGTATCCCAAAGTCTGGTTTCACACTTAAGCTAGTTTTGGAATCTAGATAAAGGAATATAAAGAAATTATAGGGTTTTTTTGTTGTTCATTTGTGTCTTCATGAAAAAAGAATCCTCAGCAGTGTCCACTGGACAGAAAACACCTACCGAAATGAACTTGGAAATAAACACTTGCTAAAGCCCTATCTCTCAATCCCTGTTACACATTTCATTTTGCTGCATATTCTTTGGCATCTTAATGCACTGTAACAGTTTGTGCCAGCAGTTTTTCCTCTCCTTTTATTGGGGGGAGGAATGTCATGTGGTCAAAAGGCATTTACAGAACTATTAAAAAGTAATTTTGTTTTCCTTAAAATCTTCCTGACAGAACAGATATCAAAAGTCAATAGCATGAAAAAACACACATGCACACAAGAGAAGAATGAAGCCAATACAGCCCAATGGGTTAACCCAAGGGCTTGCAAGGGGCTTACCTATAGTTAAGCTTTAATGTAGCTACATTATACAATCTGATGGACAGGCGAAACCACTATGAACTTCTGCTTTTTAAGCCCTCTCCTCAACACACATACTTCTGAAAGCAAGAGGTAAGTCTCACTGGCTTGTTGCAACACCCTGGGAGCTTACCATGACTGTGCAATCCTCTGAACCACTGGCAATGACTTGATCATTATGTGGGCACCAATCTATATCCAGCACTGGTCCTGTGTGGCCACACACTGTAGGATAGGATTTGTCAATTCGACCTGTCTGAAAGAGGACAGAAACAAACCCATCATGTGACATCAACGCAACAGAGTTTACATGCTTTTTCAGACTTTTCTTCTTTATGATCTACACCCAAACTCTCAACTGTCTACATGATAACATTCATATGTCAATGCCAACATAAGAACTGTCAACTTTCACTTCTAGAAATAGCTACCACCAAGGACACTCCATCAAATTACAAGTATCCAAATTTCTAGGAAAAACAAAGATTTTATTTGCATTAATAAAAACAGCAAAGAGAATTCAGAGGTCTTTTACCAAAATACAATTTTACAATAGCCAAATTATAAATCATGGGTGTTTTTACCAGAGGGGAAAAACCCTTGGTATTATTCAAAATGTGTAATATAAGTAACTCTTAATACAATAAAATGTATCTTTGAATATACAAATGGACAGTTCTGGAAATGATTGGCACTATTAAAGTAAAAAAATAAACAAAAGTTTAAAAAAAAAACAAAAAACCTTTCACTGTTGCTGGCAAACATCTTAGTGCCTGCTTCTCTCTGTTGTCTTCAGTCAACAGAAATACCAGCCAGTCAGTTCAATTACCACCACCTTAGACCTCGCCCATTATCCAGCTTCCCATCTCATAAGAAGAAAATGTTTTGGTTGGTTGGTTTTGTTGTTTTTGGTGGTACTGGGGTTTGAATTCAGGGCTTCTCAGTTAGCTGCTAGGCAGGTGCTCTACTGCTGGACCCACACCTCCAGGTACGAAGAAAATGTTTAAGCTGCTCAGTCACCACAATGTGCTCACGCTACACATTTGAATCTCACAAGCCAAGCTAGCGTACCAGGCCACTTTTGGGTCAAGCAAGACAACCACTGTTGTAAAAACAGAGTATAAAAGCTATTTCCTTTTTTCAACAGGTTAATGCCAGTCTATGCTGAAGTTGAATGTACTCTAAGAACAGGGACAATGTATAAATGAACCTATTTGTTGTTGTTCTCATTATGACAAGGTGTCCCAACATTGGGGTAGACTTTTGGTAATTTTGCAAGTTCGGCAAACTCTGTGATTTTTTTCTAATTTTATTTGACTTTGGGAATCTCCAGAGAAGCAATGTGCTGAAGTGCCAAGACCAGAGGCTCTGGAGTCAGACAGATAAGGGTTCAAATCTAGGCTCTACTGCTTAGAGGTTACCTTTAGGCAACTCAAATAATCTCTGAGAGCCAGCTCATCATCTGTAAAATAGGAAACAATATTGATCTCCCAGGATCATGTTGAGGATTAAATGAGAATTTAACTTAAGTCAGTATTATCTGACAAAACATGCAAAAATGTCACTATAGTGCCTGAGATGTAATACATACTCAATAAAAACTATTATTAGTTCTCGTAGCATAATACTTATATTACTCCATTATTCAGAATTAACAAATGCATTATTTGTAAGCTTTTATGAGCTAGATACTGTGCTGGAGACACAGTCCTGAATAAGGCAGCTCTATTCTGGCTGAGCATGGAATCCAAAGAGAGGAAAAACAATGCAGCACAAGACATGGTCCAGGAGGACAAGCACAGAGGGCAGAGGACACTTAAGTAGGCTTGTGGGTGGTCACAGTCTTGGAAAGGTTTTCTGCTGTGAAGGGCAAGTTCTAAGATGAGACTTAAAGATGGTCCTATCTACAGATAGACATAAGGCCTAGGTTTTTTCATGTCTCCCCCCTTTCCCTTGCAAAATTCATTTAGCCCAGGGGCTGAGAGTGTAGCTCGGCGGTAGAGCACTAGCCTTGCATGCTTGAGACCCTGGGTTCAATCCCCAACACTTACAAGAAAAAGAAAAGGAAATGCCAGTGAGCACCATATTGCATAGAATCTGAGTAATATACACAGGAGCAATTTGGGTCAGTTACAGGCAACAAAGCACAAAGAGCTGAGGAGACTGCACAGGCTAGAGATGTGTCTCTGCCATCCTTTAGCTGTGAGTTCTTGGCCAACTTACTCCAGCTTTCAAACTCACTTCCTCATCTGTGCTACTGGTTCATTCTCTAATAGATGTGAGGACTAGTAGACAATCAAGGTACAATCAGCACATGAAGCATTCAACAAATGTTACCCAAATTTAACAAACCTGGAATGCACTCTACCATATCTCTGATTGTGTACCTCCTTAAGGAGGGAACAGCTATACTAAGCACCTACGGCAGGTTGGTTTTACCAAATTCTCTTACTGCATCAGACACGGTCATCTGACCTGTACCCTTGGTAATGCTCTGTTGTTTAGACTGCTGTGGTAGGCTCACAGGTATTTGTTCTGTTTTTTTTTTTACAACTAAATAATAATTTATAATTATTATCTAAGCTATGGAAATAGTTAAATCTTCTGAATGTGTGATAATTAATAATTGCAAACATTGTAAGACAGGAAGACCAGAATGAGGTCTGACACTCATTCAAATAGAAAATTCTCCAAACAGAACAGACAAAAAATAGACAATGGGTAAGAATTTTCCATGTTCAACTAGAAGCTTAAGTTTTTAGCGTCAAGAGGCACAGACCCCAACTAGTATAAGTAAAAATAAATCTCAGTCAACCTGAGTGCAACTCAGAACACTTAAGCAGGGCTGGTGATACAGGGCCCTCAATGGCAGGCACTTGCCCAGCACGTGCGAGGTCCTAGGTTGCATTCCTCACACACCTGACATGCTTACAAGAGAGAGGCAATCTCAAAAGCAGCCACAGACAAAGGACAGATCACCTACACATACAGACTGACTATGGGCAGATTGCAAAAAGCAATTACAAAAAAACAAAAGAAATGGGGAAAATATCCTGGAAATGCTAAGAAAAACTACCCTTGCATCCTATACCCAGATTAAACTATCCAAGAGTGAGTGAAGCCAGACACCAGTGGCTCACACCTGTAATTCTAGCTACTTGGGAGGTTGAGATCAGGAGGATGGTGGTTCAAGGCCAGCCCATGCAATTAATTCACCACCATCTCCAAAATAACCAGAGTAAAATGGACCAGAGGTGTGGCTCAAGTGGTGGAGTACCTGCTAAGAAGGCCAAAGTTCTGAGTTCAAACCTCAGTTCTGCCAAAAAAGGAGTGACTAAAAAAAGTTAATAGACAAAAAGACAGAATTTACAAAGTACACCTTTGCTCAAAGAAAGTAAGCTAGAAAAAAATAACTGAGATACCAAAACAATAGCATTCAAAAAATAAAAGCCATTATGGTAAGCACAAATAGGTATTTACTGTGTAAAACAGTGGTGATGACTAATGGAGTACAGATAAAAATAAGGCAGAAGTGAAATATTATACAACAATAACATGCAAAGGAGAAAGGCGTATGTTCAGAGTTAAAAGGTTTCAGAGCCCTTCTCTAGCGAAAAGCAGGAAGCCTAGCTTTAGGCTGTCATGTAACATATTAAAATTAAGAGTAAACAGTAAAAGGAAAGAGAATATGTAACTTCCAAAAAGGAGTGTTCAGGAGGAGTAGAGATGGCAGGAATAAAAACCTACTTCAAACCAACAGGGAGTTGAAATGAGGAAAAAAAGGCATGAAAACTAGAAAGCACAAAATAAGATAATGGAAATAAAGACAACAGTAAATCATGAATTGGGATAAATGCTGATGGATCACACTCACTGATTAAAAGACAGTCTTTGAGATCCATTCAGTACTGGGCATGTGGCTCACGTAGAGCTTGCCTAGTGATGGGCCAGGAGTTCCATTCCTAGCACCATAAAAAAACAAACAAACAAAAAATCACATTTAAAAAATACTGTAACCAAAATGTAGCTAAAAGGAAGGGGCAATGTAGATGAATTCATACAAAGTGCTCACAGGAGAAAATCCTATTAAAATTGCTTTGGTGAGCAACTGATAACAGGCAGAAGTGGTCTGTGTGAGAGAAATGCTCCCCCATTTTTTTTACAGGAATAGTTATTACGCTACTATTGGAAATAATGGCAAAAGTACATGCCATTTCACTGTCTTTCGGTACAGGAATAAATGGTATTTATGTCACAGATACATACACATAATAAAAATACAAAAATATGATATATATTTAGGAACTGATTACACATGGCAAAGAACAAAAGAGGAGAATGGTATTTGAGCTACATCTGTTATGTTTTTTTCCCAGAAAGAAAGATATAAAACAAAGATGGCAAAATATTAACATTTGTTTAATGTTGCAGATGGGTGTATGTGTATACTATTTGATGTTTCCTATTTTGAAAAACTTAAAATTTAATAAAGTTGAGAAATACCTCAAAGTATTGTCACTAATTTTACATTTAAATTTTTTTCTTCGAGGGGAAGACATTTTTGTATCTGAATTGTTTTCTCTCTGGATCTTTGCATTCCTAGGCTCTCCCCAACAAACCAAATGTGGCATTTTTGATGGTAACATATAGTGCTGAACTTTAACTTCCAAGAATGACTTTTTTTTTTTCCCAGTATGGGCTTAGAAGATTTTCTGGTCAGATACAAATAAATTCTGAGGGGAATCTGGAAGTGCTACTAACTAGTTGTGCTTAATGACCCCCTACCAAGTTAAAATTAAACAACTTTTCATCAGTTTTTTTTTTTTTTTTTTTTGTGGTATTGGGGTTTGAACTCAAGGCCTCATGCTTGCTAGGCAGGCACTCTACCACTTGAGCCACTCCACCAGTCCAATATTCTTCAATCAAATAAGATATTTGAGAAGAAGAATAAACATTTCTGCCATTCACTTTCAATCCTAGTAAGTCTGTAGCGTATAAAAGTACTGGAGTACATTTCCTCAGGAACCTAAACAGCACTAAAAGAACAACTCCACCTATTCCATCCTACTAGGAAAAATATCTAATACAATAGTAACAGCTATACTTTTAAACTTTTTGTTGTTCAAGGGGATTGGACTTTGAGCACATGATAAAAGCGACAGCACACAAGGGAGGGGTGAGGATAGGTAAGACACCTAAAAAACTAGCTAGCATTTGTTGCCCTTAACGCAGAGAAACTAAAGCAGATACCTTAAA